AAATATTTTTTTTTATTGAATCTTTATGTCAGGTTTAGTGCCAAATATTTTAATTATTAATTTTTTTTGTTTAATTCCATTCATAAACATTTAATTTCATTTGAATTTTCCCCTGACATTTAATTTCAATTAGTTTTATGTTGAATCTAGTCTCATCCTTTTAATTGCTATTTATTTTATTTTTACATTGTTTTTTTATTGATTTTTTTTCTAGGTTCCATACCACAATATTTGTTTGGTTACAAATTTTGCTTCTTTGTTTATTTTAAACTTGCTTTTAATGGGGTTGTCCTGATTTCATGACATGAATTATGAATTTTAAAAAGTGATGTAGATTGACTTTGATCATTTTTTCAAAAAAAAAATCATCGGTGTTTTTACTCGCTTTGCTATTTTCAAAGTCGTCCCACTTTCATATCGTAGGTCATGTGCTTGACTTGTTTACTCGGGTTGATTGTCAAGTTCATCCAAGTTTTTTTTAATTATTTTTCATATGTTTTTATCATATCGGCAAGTGTCTATGGCTCTAGTTTTTTTTTTTTTTGATATGTTCAACCTTTGGTGATATTTTTTATGGTATGATTTTATTCAGTTATTTTTGTTTGTATTTATCATTTAAGTAACAAGTTTTTATAATAGAATTATCTTTTATTTATTTAAATAAAAAAAATTTAGTAAACATGATCAAGCAAATATTCCATATTTACAATTTATTTCTTGGTTATTATTAATGATATTTTTTTATTTACATAAATAGTTGATAATTTATTTAGTTAGATGATTGCATATATTTTTCAAGTGAAACTTTTAATTTTTTATGTAAAAATACATTTAAGAGAAGTATGCATGCTTAATACTTTTTTTTTTAAAAAAATATTATAACCTGCATACTAAATTCATGGTTTTAATATTTTTCTAGTTCTTTATTTTTCATATCCACACATTTTTTGAAAAAAAAATTGTTTATTTTTTTATTTTTTACACTTGGCATATTTATATTATTATTTTATTTTATTTTCTTAATATTGTTTTACATTTTTTAAAATTTACTGCACATAAATTTAAAAAATTATGTTTTACTATAATAATTATAACATTATTTTATTTTTTAGTTAAAGTACTTGTGTGATGTGATGTTGAAAGTGTTTTTTAAAATATTTTTAATTAAAAATATATCAAAAAATATTTTTTATATATTATATTTTTATTTTTAAAATCAACACAGTAAAACAATTAAAAAAGGCACCCGCTAGTAATCAGAAACGAGAAATGAAGGTGTCAAACTCTGGATGGAAGACTATGCCGTCAACGCTTAATTATAAAGAAAAGTCAAAATTAAAAAGAAAATCCCGAGAAGATATAATTATATATTTACAGTAAAGTCCCTCATCATTACCGTATTTTTAGTACTAGTAAAATAGAATTAAGTAATAATATATATATAAAAAAAAGCCGCAAAATTTCGAGGCGCTTTCTCTCCACGTTCGACAAACCAAACAGAACAGATCCTCTTTCCATCCCAGCTTCTCTCCTCGTCAACAACGTTGTTAAGAAATCAAAATCCCCTGTTTTTCAAGCTCAAATAAAACTAAAAGAAAAGGAATATGAACCTCTTCAGCAAAAAACCAAGCCCTAAAGGTGCGATCATGCCCCAACTCTCCCTGTTAAATCAATCCCATGACTGTTTGCTTGATTATCTTTGTCTATTGTTGTATCTGTGCAATCACTCGAGTTTGTTGATTTTCTTTGACGAATCAAGCGATCTCTTTGGGTTGTGCAGAGGCTCTTCGAGATAGCAAGAGAGAAATGCAACATGCTACTAGAGGTATTGCATTGCTCTTTATCTGTTTTTAGCCAATTTGGCTCTCAGCATTCGAATACCATGCCAGATTGTATACAAAGACGATCAAATTCTTTTCTTGTTGCTTTTTCCTCCCTTAATACTCAAGCTAATTCGTGATCAAATTCTCTCTCTTCTTTTTTTCTTTCAAGTACAAAAGAAGCTCAAACGTGTCGTGTTTCCCTTAGCAAAATTTTCAGCTGGAGTGTCTAGATTTAAGAACATAGTGCCGCCGCCTTTTATTTTCTGGACTATAAAGTGAAATGGGTTGGCCTGTTAGATGTTGAAACCTGATGGGATGGCATTGGATTCTGGTTTTAGATACCATTCAAGCTACCTTAGAGCACGCCCTCCTTTGGGAAGTTGAACGATTGTCGATAATGATGACCTAGGGTGGAAGAGATGGTGGGAACTTCTATGGCGATGCTAAAGTATTCCGATTTGCAAACTTAGCCTGCCATCATGTGAAGATGAGATCTTCTCTAATAAAAAACAAAGCAAAAAGAATGATACAGTTTCCTTTCATATGGAGACTCTATTAGAGATAGACTAGAGCTTCTGCGGGACTGTACCAGTGCATCAAACCTATTAAATGAAAGAATAAGTTTGGAAAGCAGACGTTTTTGTAAAGCTCTTAATTTGGTCCTTCTTAGACTGCCAAGAGCATAGGGTTCTTTAAATGGTTTTTGGGTGTGGCGGGCACTGTCATTTTATGTTCTTTATGTCATTGGATTCCGAGACATAAGTTATGGAGAGATCTTACGATTAACATCCTGCTGGATTATGAGGCTAGAAATTTCTTTGAATCTCACGCTATTGTTTTACCTTGATTCAGGTATAGAGAGGGAAATCGGAGCATTGCAGCTAGAAGTAATCAAATGTTGTTGAATGGTGATCTCTTTTCACACTTTCTCTGTTCGATTAGATCTTAACATATTTGTTATCTTTTTAGGAAAAGAAGCTTGTTGCGGAGATAAAACGGACAGCTAAGACTGGAAATGATGTATGTTGCTTTGATATGGATTTTCCTCATTGCTAGAAGACTTGAGTTTCTGTGTTATATAACTGTTCCTAAACAATATTAAATTTATATTCCTTCAATAACAATACTGAACTTTGTGTTCTTCTACTTAGGAGCCAGATGTAGATTTGTTGTTCTAGTAGTATTTAAAAATCAATCTAGTGCTTTGCATTCAATGGAGATCATTTTACCCAAATTTTCAGAAGTCTTGAAGCTTGTTGACGAGCATGATTGCCCTCAAACAGCCACCTAATTAATTCTTTTCAATTCTTTTTTTTCCCGGGCTATGCATTTTGCAGGCAGCAACTAAATTTTTAGCCCGGCAGCTAATCAGGCTTAGGCAGCAAATAGCTAACTTACAAGGCAGTCGAGCTCAAATGAGAGGCATAGCGACTCATACTCAGGTATGATGTAAAACCGTGTCTTTTTTTATCTGTACTGAGGGAATGGGTGTGGATTGCTCTTCGTAGTGCATGCACAATGTGCTCTTAACAATGTTCATCTGCTTTGCCAGGCAATGCATGCTCAGTCTTCAGTTGCTGTTGGTTTAAAAGGTGCCAGTAAGGCAATGGAAGCTATGAATAAGGTTAGTCATGGATTCATAGTATATGTAAGTGTTAATATTGATTGAATGTTGGATTAATATCCACATATTTCAAGATGCAAGATCTCTTTAATTTGAAAGCATTTTGATGAAAACAGTACATGAGTTCTTCTGTGTTTTTTTTTAACAATATTTATTTCATTAGTATACAAATCAGAACTTCAAATTTCATATGTTTGCTTTGTTTTGGGGCAATGCTGATGACTGTTATGATTTAATTGCAGCAAATGGCGCCTGCAAAGCAAATGAAGGTTATAAGAGAGTTTCAGAAGCAGTCAGCACAAATGGATATGACTGTAAGATCATGCTTTTAGCTCTAAATAATCTACCATGATAGGAAGTTCATGATTGTCAATTCTTTTCGTTCATTAGTGTTGATCACTCTTACTTTTCCATACAGACTGAAATGATGTCGGATGCCATAGACGATGCCTTGGATAATGATGAGGCTGAAGAGGAGACTGAAGAGCTGACGAATCAGGTATTGTAATTATTGATGTAATATGAAGATCTTCTAAAATAAGCTGGGAGTCTAGAAGTGCGTTATGCTCGTGGTTGCATGCATTTGCTTTACTGTTGTGTTGACTGGATTATTTTAAGTCATTAAGTGATGATTGTCTGTTTTTCTGGTTATATAACTAGAAAGCTAAGGAGCAGAAGATCCTCTATGGTGCCCAATAATTTACAACCCTCCACGCCCCCCCTCCCCACCATTAGGAAATCATTCTTTATGAATTCATTCAGTATCTATCGGACTTCAAAACAAAGAACTGATTACCTTTTTTCCTTTTTGATTTTTCTTTCAGGTGCTGGATGAAATTGGTGTTGATGTTGCCTCACAGGTTGGTGTTAATTGTAATTCTTTATACAAACGTTGTTTGCTGTGATTATTTTCCTATTCATAATGCTAACCTGAACTATATTTGGCAGTTGTCAGCGGCACCAAAGGGTAAAATCACAGGGAAGAATAGAGAGGATGCCAGCAGGTATTTTTCTGCTCTGAATTTTCCTTATCAAACAATGAAAAAATTCACATAAAACCAATCTACCAATGGCTTTTAAACCAAGATGCACTTATTGGAACAAGGGCATGATTCGGACCTCTGATCTTGGGGAATGATGGGCTTTAGCTTTTCTCTTATTACTAATGGAATCAAACAGTTTCCAAATAACTGAATAAAGAGGAAAAGGAAAATTCCTTTTTTTTCTATGTTTATTCATCATTTGTTTCCTTTTTGCAGTTCTGGCATTGACGAGCTAGAGAAACGTTTGGCAGCCATGAGAAACCCTTTAGATGACCATCCTGCATTTTGAAGGCTTCCCTCGTAATTTGATTCTTCACGGGGCTGTATTCTGTAGGCATTTTTTTTTCTTTTCCAAACCCATGTTTTCCCTCAATGTTACTCATTTGCTTGCAGGTTCTGATAATTTGAGACACCTTGTTGAACTGGATTAATATCTTATGCACAATGTTATCTTAACATTCCATAATTTGATTTCTTCCTGGGGCTGTATTCTGTAGGCATTTTTTCTTCTTTTTTTCTTTTCCAAACCCATGTTTTCCCTCAATGTTACTCATTTGCTTGCAGGTTCTGATAATTTGAGACACCTTGTTGATCTGGATTAATGTCTATGTGCACAATGTTATAAAAAATGAAAAAATTATAACGTCTCCACTCTGAATTGAAATACCATCCTTGTGCGAGAACATACAGCCAATTCACAGCAACCACACGCCTGTCATCAAAACAAAAACCCAATCAGTTCTAGTCGCTGAATTCCACATAAAATAGAGGATTGTGGTTTGAATCAGGAGAATTGACGAACCAAGGAGGTCTAATGCAGAAAAGACCATGGCTTTGGAATAAGCAGCTTTGGAGAAGAAGGGGCATGGAGGACGACAGAGAGGGAGGGATGGTAAGGCCATTAAAGCAATCAAAACGGGCAAGGCCATTTTAATTTTTTCATGGGCAAAGAGCCTGTTCTATTTTAAATCATTTAAACTTGTGTTGGCCCAGTGGAGCTATCGAAATATCATCTGCTGTTGTCACCTGAGTGAAGCATCGAAGGTTAAACTAACGTGGAGTTTCGAATTTCCCCGATGGAGAAACAACATAACAGTTGTGTTTGCATTAGGATGACATGAATAAACTTGCAAGGAATGAGAGATCCATGCCAAGGAGGGTGCAAATCGACCTTATGATACCAGGACGAGGCAAAGAAAAGAAAGAACGAGATTCGTCCGTTTTCTTTGCAGACATTTGAACATGACATTACAAGGTAAAACAAGTAGTGTCCACCACATTCGATGACAGAAAATGGAGAGCGAGACCTTCAAAGGTACAAACAAAGAGTAGTAAACGAGTCATGAAACAGAATATTAGTACAACTCAAGTTCCACATGTAAGAGGGCAGTCCCGAAGCATCTGTTTCTTTTTGGATGCGTCTAAAACATGTTGCAACCGTCAGAAACTTTTTAAGGGACAAAGGGGGAACGAGACTGGAAATGTTTTATCAGGATCTGAACTGGTCTGTCATTGCAGTAATTATCTCTGATAATTTCCCATACCCCAGGCGAGATTATAAATTCCAGGATTTCTTCACATGAAAAATCATGTATCTATTAGATATGTGAGCAAATTATTTTCTTAATGGACTCCTTGTTACTTCCTGAGCGAGAGGAACTCAAAGCTCCGGAAAGTGTCCTCACGAGTGCCTCTAGTAGCTGCAGCACGGGTCTGGGATGATTTGATCTCATACCCTGGTTGCACTCTTTGAGTCGAAGTCAGACGGCCACCACTAGAGAGTAATCGGCCTGAGCGACCTTCAGAAGGTTCTCCAGAGGAACTTGGCCTGCTACTTGAGATGATGGCTTTTCTTGAATGAACTGGATTAATGTCTTGTGCACAATGTTATCTTAACATTCCATAATTTGATTTCTTCCTGGGGCTGTATTCTGTAGGCATTTCTTCTTTTTTTCTTTTCCAAACCCATGTTTCCCCTCAATGTTACTCATTTGCTTGCAGGTTCTGATAATTTGAGACACCTTGTTGATCTGGATTAATGTCTATGTGCACAATGTTATAAAAAATGAAAAAATTATAACATCTCCACTCTGAATTGAAATGCCATCCTTGTGCGAGAACATATGGCCAATTCACAGCAACTACACGCCTGCCATCATAACAAAAGCCCAATCAGTTCTAGTCGCTGAATTCCACATAAAATAGAGGATTGTGGTTTGAATCAGGAGAATTGACGAACCAAGGAGGTCTAATGCAGAAAAGACCATGGCTTTGGAATAAGCAGCTTTGGAGAAGAAGGGGCATGGAGGACGACAGAGAGGGAGGGATGGTAAGGCCATTAAAGCAATCAAAACGGGCAAGGCCATTTTAATTTTTTCATGGGCAAAGAGCCTGTTCTATTTTA